TGTGTGTGTGTGTGTGTGACATAACTATTGTTTTAAGTGGAGAAGTCACAGAAGATGAATGTAAAAACACAATGATGACATTTTCACATCATGTTAAACAGAGGAAAATATCTATTTATAACTACACAACACTTGTACAAATGCAATGTAAGCAGTAACTTGATAAATAGCTAACTCCATTATTTAGTTTTTTATGTTTTAATAAGATCCGTTTTTAATTATATTAAGCACATTACTTTATTTTATATAATTTCTCTATATAATTGTACAATTGGACATCTAAAAAAAAAAAAAAAGAAAAGAAAAAAATCACCAGAAGCAATTTTCTATGTTTTTTGTGCTCAAAGATCAAATTTCAACCAAATTATGTAACACATGGTACACTTGTCATAACTGAATGTTTCTACAGGGAGATAAACAATGTGTCTTCAGCTGTTTTTATTATCGGCTCAAAAATGAAATCGTTTATGTATTAGATTATAAGTTCCTTCCAAAAACATCAATTGAAGGTACGTTTTGAGGGAAAGCAAAGCAAGCACCAGCAGTTTTTTGGCAACTCCTCATTTGAAGATTATTCAAGCTTTGTGATTTCATTAACACTACAGACATTTCTGTGATGTTGTGGTGATGCAATAGCAATTTGCAGCCCCTTACGGACACAAATACATGATAGATAATCAAATCCAACCTGATCTCTTTGTTCCTCGTATCTCTTTCACTCTTCTGATCTATAAAAAGACTATTCAGGTGGATTCATCTGTCTAAATGGACACAAGTCAGTTTAGAACAGAGCTGGTATAAATGAGTACTGGATCATTATCTTCGTTTTCTCCCAGTAGCTCCTGCATCAGGGGTTTCCAAGTATTACAGTACTTTAATCCACCGTCATGATCAAGCTGCTGCCTCTGATCTCACTCACATCCCTGCACGTTCAATGTGAGTCTTACTTTACATCATTAGCGGAGGCTGGACAGACTTTAGTTTGTACTAACTCAAATAAAATGACTCTTATTTTATGGATTGGTTCTACTACACGGTATGTTTGCTTTTAAAGTTGTTTGTGTTCAATGACACAAGTATGAATTACATGTGCTCTCAGTGTCATCACAGTTCTCTTATGTCACTTTTTACAGTGCACCTTCTAGTTTGCACAGGAAATTCAGACTGCATTCATAGTACACAACATTATTTTAAATGAGATATAAAAGATGAAATATGCTTTTTTTCTTTCTTTTTTTCTTTTGGCCAAGCGTGGACTGTTTCCATTCAATATTTGAATCGTGTTGGTGTGAAGTGTGTGCTCAGGGGTTTCTTAGCCATACCGGGCAAATATCTGCTATATAGTAATGCCTACTTTATCAATACAAATAACAGTAGTTTAGTGATTGCATTATCAGAGAAGTCTATGAATATATCTGAAAACGTAACTCTTTAAATGAAGACTTACTATCCTTGTGTGATATTTATTTTGAGGCCAAATATAACCAATCATGAAACCATCCCTAGAGAGATTGTCATTATAATACAGTTTTAGAAGACCTCACCAATTGCAATGTTCACTTCACTGTCTGAGTGGCTTCAAATGTAGGTAAAGATTGTGTTGAACACGTATAGCATTTGAAATCAGATCATCTCCATTGTCTTGAGAACAAGTTTGGGACTTAAGAAATGTAGCTTATATTGTTTTGGGGGACTAGAGAGTACAGGCTTCTATGCAATTCTTTTTTTTGTTGTTGCCTCGACAGAAAAACAACAGGTTTCAGTATCATGATGCATTTGTGGTATTTGAGTAATTGATGTGCACTTTCATATCATATCTTATTTTTGATTTGAATCCAATTTTTGTTTCATCGTGGCTACGCTCTGTGAAGTAGAAAGTGCTGTATGATTTCAGTATTTTAAAATGTTTGATGTTTATTCATTTACTGTTTAGAAATGCTTATGTGGTTAAACAGTGTCATTTTGGAATCTGGATTTTCATTGTCCTAATGCCAGTGTGCTGAATACCTTAAAATGATCATTGATCAAATGTTACAGATTGTGTTTCATTTTTTTTCTCCCTCATTTTAAAAAGGCTATCAGGTCACAGAAGTTATGATGAAATATCTTGAAGGTTTGGTGCACTTGTGTTCTCATTTTCATTTTGTGTCCTTGCTCCGTGTGCAAGTTCAGTTTCACATAAGGCCCCTACAGTTTGAGAGTTAAATTTGTAACTTTCTCAATCCACTTGTTGAAGAGCCTTTCATGACAAATAATTTAAAAAAAAGTTTTGAAATCCCTGTTTTCTCGTATTATTGTTATTATTATTCTCAACACTTGTTGATAATTTACCATAGTTCAGAAGTCTGAATAAAGGCAAATGTCTTTCCTTAATGTATCAAAGCCTAAAACCCTTCACCACTCCTATTTACCCTGTAATCTAAATGTGTGTTTTAGGGAAACATTTAACTTAGTTAGGCTTAATGATAGTACTTTCAGTGTTATTTCAGTATCATTTAAATATAGTGTTTATTGATATTTTGAATTAAATTTTATTTTTATGTTTTCATTTTAATTGTAATTCCTTTACAGTTTTTTTTAAATATTAATTTTTTTTCAATTCATTTATTTTTATTTCAGTTTTAGTAATTTAAGTACTATGTTTTCATCTTATATTTATGTATATATGTGTGTGTGTGTGTGTGTGTATATATATATATATATGTATATATATGTGTGTATATATATATATATATATACAGTATCTCACAGAAGTGAGTACACCCCTC